TATTATGGACCTACTCGAGGCCTCAAACCACACCTAACAATATCGAAACGACAAATCGCACCTCAAATCAAACTTAATGAACTTTGAACTTTTCAACTTCCAAAACTCGCGCCGAAACATATCAAATCAACCCGGAATGAAGCCAAATTTTTCACACAAGTCCTAAATGACACAATGAAGCTATTCCAACTCTTGAAACCACAACCCGAATCTGATATCTACAAATTAAACTCTCGGTCAAACTTATGAACTTTTCAAACCTTCAAATTTCCATCTTTCGACAATTTGTGTCGGAACCTTCTAGAAACATCCAATTGCAAATCCGCGCATACGCCCGAGTCCAAAATCACCATCCGGACCTAACGTAACTACCAAAACACCAATCCGAGGTCAAATGCTAAAAAGTCAAACTTGGTCAACTTTTCCAAGTTAAAGCTTAAACCATGAAATCCATTCTTCCAAATCGATTCCGAATAACCTGAAAACCAAAAACGACGATTCACACAAGTCATAATTCACAATATGATGCTGCTCAAGACTTTAAATGTCTGAACGGGATGCAAATGCTCAAAACGACCGGTCGGGTTGTTACAATCACCTTTCTCAATCATAACTACAACCTGTCTCGCCACCTTTTTCTCTCAAATGTGGGTTTCGACATGTGATAACTCTTTTAAATGGGTACTAAAGAGAAGAGTCGCCACCTAACGATTTTTAAGGTGCGTTAGGGCACCTATTTGCAAAAAACTCTGTTTGACTAGATAATGTCATCAAAGATTGGGTAAGGGCTCAAATTACCTCAAAGAGAAGGTGTTAGACACTCTTTCAGGTACAGAATTGTGGGTCCCGACCAAAGTTTAAACTATGTGGATTAGATAATTAAGCTAGGTGATCATATAACTAAAGAAAGATGTAGAAGTTAAAGTCTCACATAAGAATTATGATATATAAATGATCGATATAAATCTTAAGGATTACAATGGTCCAACTGGGTTGGTCTATAATAAATGACTAAGTGTGAACAAGTATATAAAGAAAAGGGGGTCCTAAGATTTTTAGCCTAAAGGATCACCCTGTGCAACATAAATAATACTTCGCAACTCCCTTGGATTAGAGGTCGCTCATATTATTCAGTGGGCACAGACTATCATCTCCTGCTAACCGATAACTATGTTAAAGTTTTTTACTTAAAGGCGCTCTAATTCAGTTCTAAGTCGTGTCTTATGCGTGCACTACTCGTCCCAATGCCTATGGTCCAAGAGGCTTTGGAGCTACTATTAGGTGGTTCTAGACTCTTCTTAGGATGCTCAAAATTGATAAAACTAGCGCACATTCAAAAATATGTAGGACTACACATAAATGTAAGGAAAGGCTCAAGCTCACCTCCACACGTAAGTAGCAAATTTCCCGCAGGCATGTTCAGCAATAGGCCGTTTTTAGACGCATTGGAATCATTAAGTCCTATAGGCATGATTTCTATGTGATTCCGATTTCCTATATTCTACGAGCGGTACTGCTTTTTCGACTAACTCTTGGGTAGTTTAGAAGCATTGCAAGTCCTACAGGCATGATTTCTAACTATCTATGTAATGAGGCAGTGAAACAATCCTAGAACTATGAATTACCGGTGTTGATTTTATAGATATGCTTCTTAGGCAGGTGACAATATCCTATAGGCAGAATTTCTAGTAGTTGCATAATGAGGCAGCGAAGCAGCTTGAAAACCCAGGATTAGCAGCGTCGATCTCATAAACAGTTTCTTATGTGAATGATAACATCCTATAGGCAGGATTTCTAACAATTGACAATTAGACTTGGTTTTATAACACTTTATCTCTATAGGCATGTCATCTAAGTTAGGCAGTATAAAAGTAACAGAAAGCAACTGATCAATTATTTAAAACCTTATAGACATGATATCTAGATTAGCAAAGGCATGTATTATTGTATCCTATAAGCATGCTATCTAAAAGCGTTGAGACATGGAAACAAGTGTAGCGAATGCTTAAATATGCTTTAGACAGGTTGATCGAAGTGTGTGCGCAGTTCATATATGCATGATTTCTATTAGCGTGCAATGAAATAACATATAAGGCCTGCTGAACGCAATAGGAAATAGAACATATATACCCTATAAACATGTTTTCTACCCTTTCATGCAAGTATTAGAATACCACAGCCCCCTTTTTATTAATTTCCCCATCATTCATTATTACAAGTTATTATAGCCTGAATGGAATAATACAAATCATTTATGAACAGTTATAGTAGAAGACAACTATAGACCCAATGATAGGCCCAATACAAGTAACCTAGTGATTTTCTAGGCCTTCGACGGCCCCAGTAGACCCAAATCCCCAGCTCATAAGACCAGTATAGTAAGTATGAATCCAACAGCCAAACCTAACATCACATAGAACCAGACACCAAGCCCAAAGGAAGGATTCACACATGGTCACACAAGCAACAGACTATATGTTGAACTAACTAAGTTGAGCAGGAAGTCCACACACCTATTTCTTAGGACTGTAAAGCTAATTTTCACTTAGACGCATAGACAAATTCATGTGGCATGCTGGCAGGACACACATAAGCCAAGTTCATGTTTGCATTTCCCAAGTTCAGGGGACATGATTGATTATCATAGGATAGCAGACTATTTCCAAAGAAGTTTCAAACACTAACATGGTCAAAAACAGCTTAAGGCAATTTCAAGCAGGGGATCTAATTATGAAAGCCAAAGGATCAAGAGAGAACAGCCTTAGTAGAGCAATTTTAACATAAAGACTGACAATATAGGTTAATAACAAGAGAAAGAGTATAGCATGTGTAACATTAGTAGAGTTGAAGAGGCATGTCACTTAGGTCAACATGGTAAGCATACATGATTAGTTTTCAGAACAACAAGATTATAGTAAAGCATGAATTAGCCTAAAAGAGACTCAAAACTAGGAATTTAAGGCATGAAGGTCTGATAAAGTCATAGTCATAGAGTGGCAATTACACATAGTAAAAAGTAAGTAGGCATGGTTTATAACAGTCGATAAGAATCCTAATCATGCTGAATATAACACAAAGACTTCTAAGTCTAAAGACATCATGGTAGGAAGATATGTCAATCTTAAGGTCAAAGAATAGACATACTTTAGAAATTAAGCCAGTCAACTATGTATAATGATAGAAACCAAGTGTATTGGGGCTTAACTAGAAACCTAGGCAATACTAAAGAATACAGAATTGACCAAATACCAAATTAGAAACATGTTTGGATAAAACATTAAGACAGTAATGGGCACATAAGGCTCATGTAAGTAGGAAAACAATAGAACATACATGAAGGATTTATTAGAAAGAAATTCACTCAAGCAAATTATGGGCAGGAGATAATCTCCTTAAGAATGCAAGAATCCAAAGCAACACATGAGAAAGATCTCTTGAAAAGCAATTAGTAATCAGAATAGCAGAGCAGGCTGAAAGTAATCAGAAATCATTCAAATTGCGCACATGCATGCATCGAAGCTCAAAATTCAAGTAGGTTCAGATACTAGAAAAACACAGGGGTAAACGATAATACTGAGGCAAACATGAATATGAACAGAGGAAAATATTATCATATTGATTCACAAAGGCCTGAATGACATGAATACAAGAAAAAGAGAATATAATCGCAAGAGTCTCATTATTCACCAGTTTGCAGAATTAACGAGCTAATAGATATTAAGAGCCAACAATTTTCTTATCAGTAACAAAGAGAGAACAATAGAAACCCCAAAATTCTTAGTGCGTCAAAGTTCCCAAGGGCTTCAAGTAAACCCCAGGCAATGCTCGCACTGAGAAAGGTCGAATAATTGAATTTTGGTGGCCTTGTCTTCCAGCCGCAAGAGCTCGAATTTCATAATAGTATAGGACGAATGAGAGTAAGAATACAGTTATTAAGGTATGTCTTAGGGGTATTTGGGGAAGGGTTTATATAGTGGTAGAAGTTGAACAAACAAACATAGAAGACAATCAATTAAAAAAATAAGGAGAGAAAATATCGCATGCAGTCAATGATAGAACCCGTAAAAGAAGAATCGGAACCCAAACCCTTGTTGGAATCAAACTCAGGGAGAATCGATCACAAGCCCCAATCACGACAAAATCAACGAAGATATACGAGATACAAGAGAGATTTTTCTCTTATTCTAGTGTATAGAACCACAAATGCACCTAGAACTATAGAATCAAAGCCAAATCTGTGAGGATCGAACCTGCCATAAGTATAATGGAAGTGAAAGTTACCATAAATAAGTGATAATAAAAGAAAAGGTAAGTAGAATCTTTGTATGAACGCATATGAGGAAGGGCGATGAGGATCTTTTAGGTCTGCTAGGGTTTGGTCTCTGAGGGATAAGAGAGCAGGTGAGGGCGGCTGTGGAGAGATAAGTGGTCTCTAGGGTTTGGTCATGGGGATATAAGGAGAATGGGGGATTTATTATGGGCGGATTAAATGAACGGGTCGCGACCAGGTTTAGAAGGGGTCATTTGGTTTGGGTTGATGGTTGAGGCCAAATGTTAATCCGAAATTAGCCCTATGTTGGGGCTATAAATTAAATATACAAAATCTATTTAAAAAATTGATAAAAAACAATTTATAAATAATAAAAATATTACTTATGTGATAAAAATGATTGAAAATAAAAACTCAACATTATAAAAAATATAAAAATGCTATTTCAGCATGAATAATGTAATAAATGCAATTAGAATATACGCTATTATTGCAAAATTATGTAAATAGCTCAAAAGTGTAGTTCTGGATCCAACGGTGAACGAAACCGATGGAGTTGTTATAAGAGTGGTCATGTTTCTAAAAGGATCTTTTGGATATGATAGTGTCGCGAGTAACGGATAATTTCAGGTGGAGCTATGAATGCGAATTTGAACGCTACAGATGTATAAGGCAAATATTTGAGCGGTTATGGGACAAAAGGTAATCAATTGCTGATCGTCGGTTATGTTTAAGACGGTCGAAAGATGTGAACATTGTAAGCGAAAACCGGAGAGATAATTGCTCCTGTTTGTAGGACAGTTACCTCCAAAGATACCTGCAAAACTTAAAACACGATGCACGCGAACATAGAGGGACATAATAAACACATCCAAAAACTCACGATTGCTCCTCCTATCCCTCCATCCATTTCTGCAAGTATAAGTGCTCCTCCTATCAATACTCGGTGAACCATGTAAAGGCCTTACCAGTTGGGTGAGAATTTCCCCTTTGCTTCATCCTGGTGTGGGAAGATTCATTTCAGCACTAATTGCCCCAGTGTGAATTGCCTCGATCTAACCTTTTGGTTGAAAGCCCTTGCCATTCTATTCTGGTAGAGTTGACCGTGACATACCGCATTCATTCTCTTGCCATCAATGAGAGCTAGTTGTTCATACAAGTTCCGTATCCATTCTGTGTCGCTGAGCTCGGCTTCTTGTATGATTCTTAAGGAGGGAATCTCCACTTCGAGGGGAATAACAGCTTTAGTACCATAGACCAGTAGATACGGAGTTTCCCAGTTGACTTACAAATTATGGTGCGATACCCGAGCAAAGCAAACAGTAGCTTCTCGTGTCGTTGTTTGTAGTTGTCCACCATTTTTCTCACTATCTTCTTGATGTTCTTGTTGGCAGCTTCTACAGCCCCATTCATTTGTGGCCTATATGCTGTGGAATTTCGATGCTTGATCTTGAATGTTTCACACATAGATTTCATCAGATCACTATTGAGATTGGCGGCATTATCAGTGATGATTGACTCAGGTACTCCAAATTGACAAACAATACGACCCCGGACAAAATCTGCTACGACCTTCTTAGTCACGGCCTTATAGGAAGCGAATTCAACCCATTTTGTGAAGTAGTCTATAGCCACTAAAATGAACTGGTGTCCGTTTCTAGCAGCGGGTTCAATTGGTCCGATGACATCCATGCCCCAAGCAGAGAAAGGCTAGGGTGAACTCATCGAATTGAGTTCGTTGGGCGGCACTCATATCATATCAGCATGTATTTGGCATTGGTGACACTTTTGAACATATTTGATGCAATCTATCTCCAGAGACATCCAGAAATACCCAGCCCTTAATATTTTCTTGGCCAAAACAAAATCATTCATGTGATGTCCGCAAGTTCTGGCATGTATTTCTTCGAGCAATCTAAATGCCTCCTTCGCATCGACACATCAGAATAATCCCAAACCTGGAGTCCTTCTATATAGAATTCCTCCACTTTGAAAGAAATGGTTGGCCAATCTTTGAAGTGTGCGCTTATGAGTGTATTGTAGCATTATCTGGGTATTCTCCCTTTTCCAAGTACTCCTTGATATTGTGGAACCATGGATTTCCATCAAACTCTTCTTCAATATGAGCATAATAAGCTGGTTGCATATGAATTCCTACTGGGATAGGATCGATGAATTCTTGTCTGGATGTTGTATCATGGCAGACAAGGTGGCTAATGCATCTGCGAACTCATTTTGAATACTTGGAACATGTTCAAATTCTATCTTTGTGAATCTCTTAATCAATTCTTGTAGGCAATGCAAGTATGGCAATATTTGGTGTTCTTGGCAGCCCATTCTCCTAGTACCCGGTGTACCAACAGATTAGAATCACTGATTAGTAGCAACTCTAGAACATTCATGTCGATGGACAGCCTGAGTCCCAAGATGCAGGCCTCATATTCCACCATATTGTTGGTGCATGAGAACCTAAGTTTTGAGGATATCGGATAATGTTGACCGATTTCTGATACTAAAATAGCTCTAATGCCCACTCCCTTGAAGTTTGCTGCTCCGTCGAAGAACATCCTCCAACCATCGCATGCTTTGGTAATATCTTCACCTACAAACGACATTTCCTCGTCGGAAAAATATGTCTTCAATGGTTTGTATTCTCCATCTATGGGATTCTCCGCCAAGTGATCAGCCAACGCTTGCCCCTTGACCGCATTCTGATTCACATAGATGATGTCGAACTCACTTAGCAATATTTGCCACATTGCTAACTTACCTATAGGCATGGATTTCTGAAAGATGTATTTTAGTGGATCCATCCTTGATATGAGATATATAGTGTACGCACAGAAATAATGTCTCAACTTCTGGGCTTTCCGTGTCAAAGCACAGCAGGTGCATTCCAACAGAGAATATCGGGCCTCGTAAGGTGTGAACTTCTTGCTCAGATAGTATATCGCCTGCTTTATCCTCCCAGTTACATCATGTTGCCCCAGAATGCAGCCAAAGGCTCCATCCGACACGGACATATAGAGAAGTAGAGCTCTTCCTAATTCTGGCGGGACCAACACGGGCGGTTTAGATAAATACTCCTTGATTTTGTCGAAGGCTTTCTGGCATTCTTACGTCTAGCTTGTTGCAACATCTTTCCTCAGCATCTTGAAGATCGGCTCGCATATCACTGTTGATTGTGCTATAAATCGGTTGATATAATTGAGGCATCCTAGAAAACTCATCACATCCTTCTTGTTCTTCGGCGGTGGCAAGTCCTAGATAGCCTTGATTTTTGACGGGTCTAGCTCAATACCTCGGCGACTGACGATGAAACCTAGAAATTTTCCAGTAGGGATTCCAAAGGCATATTTTTCTAGGTTCAACTTCAAATTACATTTTCGAAGTCGGTCAAAAAACTTCTTCAGGTCAGCTATGTGGTCTGAAATCCTTTTGGATCTGATGATAACATCATCCACGCACACCTCTATTTCCTTGTGTATCATATCGTGGAAGATAATCATCATGGCCCTCATGTAGGTGGCCCCGGCGTTCTTCAAACAAAACGACATCATTTTATAACAATATATCCCCCATGGTGTGATAAAGGTTATTTTTTCTACATCCTCCTCATCCACTCAAATCTGGTGATATCCAGCGAAGCAATCCACAAAGGATTGGATGCTTAGTGCAGTTATCGATCAGTATGTGTATGTTGGGCAATGGAAAATCATTTATAGGACCTGCCCTGTTCAAATCTCATTAGTCAACACATACTCTGACTTTTCTATCTTTCTTTGGAACCGGCACAATGCTGGCAAACCAGGTCGGGTATGCGACCACTCGAAGAACCTTGGCTTTGACTTGCTTGGTAATCTCCTCTTTTATATTCAGACTCATAACTGGCTTGAACTTTCTGAGTTTCTACTTTACTGGTCGACACATGGGATTGATAGGTAGCTTGTGAGCTACTATGGATGTGCTTAACCCAGTCATATCATCGTAGAGCCATGCAAAAATATCCTCATATTCCTTTAGAAACCTGATATACTCTTCCTTCTCTAAAGGTGATAGATGAATGCTTATGCGAGTTTCTTTGACTGTTTCAGAATCCCATAGGTTAACGGACTCAGTTTCCTCCAAGATAGACTTTGGTTTGTTTTCAAAATTCTCTACTTATTTGACAATTTCCTCAGGTATTATATTATCTTCCAGATCTTCCGCATCATTGTCCTTGTGTTACGTTGTCTCATTACATGTCACAGTCGTAGGTACATCAGGATATGTAATAACTACGCTGAAAAGAATGTCGAAAGATAATAATAAATACGAAAAGCAATAATGCATTAATAAAGCTTTAAAATGTCAACAAGTATGACTCGATGGCTTGAGTAATTATTTCAAAACAAGATACTTAAAATGTCTTAAATGCTCAAAAATAATTTTAAAACAAGCCATGCTTATTTTGCCAGGCTACCTAGATACTCGGCGAGCCCGGGATAGTGCATCGGTCCAGTTCTTGAGACCAACTCCTTCTCTCATTGTCTGAATGGTAAGGTCTTCCTCCTCCTCCTCCACCACCACCATTACATTACAGTCCATGTCTTCCTCATCCAGAAATAGCTTCCTCATACCGGCCAAAATTTTATCTTCCTCGGATCCCCATATTATGTCAGTCTGACACAATGTCTGGTGCAAAGGTGGTATCGGTTGTTCCAATGGATAGTAATTGGCGCACCTAGGCGGTATCCAATCCTGTCACGACCCCAAACCTGATCGTGATGGCGCCCAACACTAATGCTAGGCAAGCCCGACCATTTACTCTCTCAACCCGAGCACAAAGCTCAAAGCCAATTAATCAGGTACTAAAAAATCAAATATTAATACTCATAGTTGAAATACCCAATTAAAAACAATACGAAATACTGACATAAACTGTAACTCCCAAAGACCTGGGGTCATGAGTCTAGAGCCTCTAACTAATACAGAGTCAAGAATCCTCAAAATAAGTATGTTCTAAAGTACGGAAATAATAAAGGGATAAGGGAGGAGTCGGGTCCTGCGGACGTCATAGCAGCTACCTCAACCACTCCTGGAACTCTGGAAACCAGCGGCTAGCTCAACTAAGCTCCCGAAGTACCTGAATCTGCACACAAGGTGCAGGGAGTAGGGGGTGAGTACTACCAACTCAGTGAGTAATAAGCATATAAAATGTCTGAAGATAAGAAATCCAGGAAATGCCACAAAGTAAAGCTAAAACTAACAGTCCAACACCTAACTACGAACCAACAGCAAAACAACTTCAAATATATCAGTCAAGTATAATGTAAGGATGCAATGCAATGCACATGACCGCTACGGCGCGTAGGCCGATCCACTTAACGTCGACGGCGCTCACTGGGGGTGTGTACAGACTCCGGAGGGGCTCCTTCAGCCCAAGCGCAATATAATCTTACCATTCGCTGCGGCATGCAGCCCGATCCATACTCAGTCCACAATATGCATATGAGTCACGTAACAGATTCAATTAATTTCCCAATTTCCAATTTATTAGAGAATATACTTTAGATTATTAACTTCAGGAAACGTGACTTAGCATTTCATAACAGTGATTAAACACAGGACTGAGATCAATGATTATACAAAGCATGCTATCACAATGACATTCATCCTCTAAGGATGCTACAGATCGGCACAAGGCCCCAAACACGGCAATAAGCCCAAATATATTCAATACAGGGTGCGTATCAGTCGCCAATATAGAAACATTCTTGTTCGGGATGGACCAAGTCACAATCCCCAGTCATAAACAAATCCCGCACCTGCCATGGGGTGCGAGTCACGCCCTACTATAGCGTCACAGTGTGATAAGCCGGGGTTTCAAACCCTCAGGCCATCATATACACCAACTACTCACCTCTAACCGGCCGTAGACTGGTCCGCAATGCCTTTTCCCTTTGTATCGACCTCCTCGCGCGTCGAATCTAGTCAAAATCACAGCGAATACATAAATATGGGTTAAAGAAACATAACCCAATCAAAAATACTCGAAAAGTACTAAAATTCACGAAGTTGGTAAAACCCGAGCCCCGGGCCCACTTCTCGAAAAATTCCGAAAATCACACCAATGGATTCCTCGTCTCTCCACGAGTCCGTGCATATAAAGTTTACCAAAATCGGAGCTCGTTTGACTCTCCAAATTCCATTTTTTACATCACCGCTTTCCAAGCCCTAGCTTGACCCGTTTTTTATGAAATTCTACTGATTTCTATGATAAATGTACCATGAACTCGAGTAATTAGGCCAAGAGACTTACCTCCAAGTGATTCTCAGTCAAAACCCTCGAATTTCCTTGTTCAAGGCTCTTAAGAACGTCAACAATGGAGGAAAAATATGAAAGGGTCGCGGATGAAATATTATTTTAAAACCCTTCTGTCGCCCAGTCCAGTTTTCGCTTCTGCGGTCCCGCTTTCGCTTATGCGGGACCGCTTCTGCGGCCACATTTCCGCTTTTGCGATCTTCACTTAGAAACCCGGACTTCGCTTATGCGACGCGAAGTCCGCTTCTGCGGTTCCCTCAAAACCGCTTCTGCGGTACAGTGTCCGCTTACGCGGACCCGCTGGTGCGAGCCACCTTCTGCTTCTGCGGAATTCCCTATCCGGCCAATGACCGCTTCCGCGACCACGTACCCGCTTCTGCGGTCCATT